ACATGTATTCATTTACAATCTCTTTGTATATAATTTTCCCAGATTGCTAGCCAAATAGTTTATATGACTTCCAAAATTAAATTATTAAAATAATTTATATCAAATTTATATCAACTTCATGGATTTCAGTGTGTAAAGCTGACATCCTGGTTATGCTAAAGATCTACAAACTTAACAGATATACTCAGATAGTTCATAATACAACATCAACTAAAAAAAAAAATTTAGGATTGGCTATTAATTGAGAAAACCCAACTTGTAATGAACATTTGTTGACACATAATCACCTGTATGGTGATAAAGGGACATGAAATCATTAAAGAGTCAGCCTCTACTTATTCAAAGATTACCTATAAGCAAATTTTCAAAGACTCTCTGAATGGCAGTGAATGATTAATGGTGGGGAAAAAAAGGTATTATTCTGTAAGCTGAGAGATATTGCCAATAATATTCCCTTTCACTTCCCAGTCACAGACATAGAGAAAGACAGGTGCATCAGACTAATCTTACTGAAAAGGAGAACTTTGAAGAAAGTAGCACCTAGCAAACACCTACTCTTTTAGATTTTTTTTGAGACACAGAAATGTATATATTGCACTTATCTATTCTGAAGTTCTTAAACAGGAGTGTATTCAAACCTCGAGGTGTTTGTTTGTTTGTTTGTTGCTGTTATTGCGGTTAGAGATAAGAGTCTCACTATGTTGCTCAAGCTGGACTAAAACTCATAGGCTCAAGCTGGGACTACAAGAACATGCCACTGTGCCCAACTTCAAGAAAACATTTTTAAACAAACACATTGAGGCCTTATTAGATCTATTACATCAAAAGCTTCAGGGGAAAGCCTAAAATTTTAGATTTTTAACAAAATTTGCTCAGGTCACTATAAAGCACAATTCTGAGAATTAGTGCAACAGGCAATCACTTCAGCCACACGGCTCATCCCTCACCCACACAGCTAATTCCCTTTGCCAATTGTAGGCGTGGCCAAAAAAAGAAAAGAGTAAGAGACAGAGTCATTTATTAAATCTACACTTAATTTTCATGGGTATGAGTAGAACAGGAACAAAGAAACTCAAAATCCAACTTTGATATTAATAAGCTCCTTATCTCCCACCTTTCCATCAAGACATTCTAGATTTCAGATCTTAGAATCTTAGTCTAGATCTTAGACTCTTAGGTCTAAGTGGCTGTTTCTGCCTGGATGGGTAATAAGCCAGTTAATAATTTGTTTCATCAAACAACAAACTAAAAAAAAACTCTTCTTGGCATTTTCCCTTATTACGTAATTTCCAAGTGACCTGCGTATTCCTAATGGCTCTCCTTTTCCCTTCATTTTTCCCTCTTACGCCTCACCACTGAGAGATGATACATCAGGTTTTTAGAACATTGTCAGCAGCAGCAAGATGTCTATTAATTCCAAGTTTCTTTAGTTTTGTTTGGGTTTTAAGATAAAGCCTGTTTTCAGGACATGTTTTCTTTCCTGTGTTGTTTTACATTAATTAGGGAAAAAAAAAAACCTTGCATTTAAAAAAAAATTAAAAAGGCTTTACCTTTAAGAAATTGATAAATATTTTCCAAAGTGTATTTTAAAAAGTTGTGCCCTTAATGCTTCTTTCAAAGTATCGCTATTTAAAATATGATTTTTGACAATGAAGTTATTTCAAAATAACTTAATTTGCTTGCATTCAGTGAATGCTTGAGCTTCCAAATATAAAAAATGGACCCCTACCTATATCAAGGTTAAAACAAATAATTTGAAAAGAAAGTTGATTAATCTACACCTTGTGATTGCTTCAATATTTGCATCATGAGAAAGCAGTTTTTCTGCCAGTAACACCAGTAACATATTCTCATTATACCCAGCATAATGGAGAGCAGTGATGCCATAGATATCCTTAAGATGTGGGTACTTCAGATCTCTTAGAGGGAGAAGAACTGAGAGGAGGAAGGGGATCTGGAATATTTTCCTTCTTACGCAGTCTTAGCTCAGCAGCAGCATAAACCACCGGGATCGTTGGTAGAGACTTAGCACCCAGCAAATTATTCTTGGAGAAGGAATGGGGTCAAAGGCCAAGTGGCTGTTACCTGTGCCCTGGGCTGTCCCAACTCAAGAAGCATAACTGCTGCTCTAGCTGTGAAATACGGAATGCCAGATGAGTACATGACCAGGATGCAGATCAGCACAAAGACGACCTTCAGGAGCCAGTAATCCCAGAGCCTCAGCTCCCTAGTGCGCCCAGACTCCTCCTCCAGCTCCTCCTCCTCACAGACAGCATTCTCTGCAGTGGGAGAGCAGTTCAGCACCTTCTTAGGGCAGGCAGGAGCCCAGCCCGGCATGGGCCATGCCCACCTCCTGCCATTTTCAGAGGCTACTTGGGCTCTTGGTTTTTCAGGCCCTGGAGGCTTCCTGGAGGGGAAGAAACTGTCTGTGGGGTCCACAGATGCTGGAGGGGTACTAAGCACGTTGTCTGGGAGAGACAGGACGTGGAGGACGGGCATACCTTTCTGCACTTCATCTCAGGGATAAGGACTTCCAGAGACTCAGGTTCCTCTGGAAATTCTCTTACGCTTAGACTCTTCTTGCTGGAAGGCTGTAGGTGGGTGCAGACTCTCCTCAGCAGCTCACACTATCCTGGGAAAGCAGTGACACAAAGATATACTTCTGGCTGGTGGTGGTGGTGATGGCCAGTCTGTTGGGAAGGAGCCGTGCCAGCTTGTGTTTTTTGATCATTTGCGCAGACACCACAGGAATGACCACCTTGGTATCCTTGCCAAAGAGGCTGGCGTGGAAGCAGAGCCAGTTGGGGGAGATGCAGAGCTGGCCCTGAAGAAGGAGGTCCCTCTGTAGGGCAGGGGAGCACACTTTTAGAACCCCTTCCTACAAGGCAACATCCTTAAACAGTTTGTGGTATTGCTGGTTGTATTTATTCAGTGGTATCCCTTCTCGGCCACACTTCTTTATCTCTTCACCCTTCAAGCCTTCTGGGCAATGCAGACTGCAAAGGAGACATTCCATTTCGGGGACAAGGAACCCCAGTCCTGCCCATGCATCCTCAGTGCCAATTCTGCCCTGGCCTTGAGCCAGAAGCTTGGGGCAGAGATCGGACACTAGCGCCCTTCTCTGCAGTCCGGGGGCTCCTGAACTCGATCTAGTTTCTCTTTGCAGGACACAGGACTGTTCAGAGAAGTCTTTCTGTGCATTTGTTGGTTGCTCCCTGCCTCGGGGGCCTCGCTCCGGCTCAGAGTGTCATCGCGGCGCCTGCACCACGCGCCCCTGACCACGCGCCGGGATGTGAGAGGTTATTTACATCTGGGAAAGATTCATATACCTCTTCCCAAGAATTATTCCATTAATAATAAACTTTTACTAGAAGAGTTGCACATGCTCACTGCAGCACAGATAAGACAAACTTTACTTAAAATGCAAATGCCCAGAAATTAGAAATGTTGTCATATTTTGTACACATTTTTTCTTAACACAAGACCATTGTATGTTTGTGTGTGTGTATAATCAAACTGGTTTTTTTCCTTGCTAGCTATAACAAAATACATCTTCGCACATCAACATACTTCTACATCTATTGTCACATTCAACGGCCACCTATTATTCCACCCGTGACTGCAACAGAAATTTATAGAATTCATTCTATCTGTTCTTAAAAACAAAGTGCATGTATCTCTACTTCCTAAGGGTATTTTAGTATAATGGAATTGATAGGTAAAGAGTATACACATTTTTTAAATGCAGTACTTACCACCAAATTGTCTATTTAAAAAGTCATCAGCAACTTAAACTTTAAGCAGCAGTACAAAACATCCTCACACATATTGTGGACAGAAAACAGTTTCATTCCTCTTTTAATTCTTATACCAGAAATGCAAAGTATTTCTTCCTATGTACATAAGTAACTTGTAAATCTGCAAAAAGGTTCTTTACCCACTTTTATTAGAGTTTTTATTTGATTTGAAAGAATTTCCTATAAAATGAAGATGCACTTTTCATCTAATGTGCATATATGTAACTTTTCTTCTAATTTGTATATGTAACTGAACATTATATATGTAATATACATGCTATACATACCAGTACTATACATATCACAACACATAATTCCCTGTAAAATGAAAACACACTTCTCATCTGAATATAATATAGTAAATAGTTTTCAAGTATGTTTTCTTTCATTTCTCATTTTTTTTTTCTGATACACAGGCAGTTTAATTTTTAGTTTGCTAAATCAGCCTTCAGAATGCCTGCCTCTGAGGTCGTTCTTAGGAAGGCCTTTGTCAACATAACATACCTGTAAAATAAACATTTGTGTTTCCTTCCGATACTTTTCTCACTTGCATATGTAAAAGTTTCAATCTGTGTTCCATCAGGCAGTCATGTTTATGATATAAAAATTAATTAGTTTTCTTCAAAGAGGAGGCATTTTTTCATTAATAATTCATCCTTTCCTATTCACATCTGTGAACATTATCAATCCTTACATATATCATTTCAGTGTTTCTCGATTTCCTATTCTGTTCCATGCATTTATCTGTATTCTAAGCTGTTATTAAACAATTATAGAAATTAATCGCATATTTTAACATCTAAAGCCAGTACTTTTCAGTCTATTATAAAATTATTTAAAACGTTATCACAATAGTAAAAGACAGCAGGTGTTGTGCAAAAATGTTAAAACCTTTATATTTTCATTCAGTTTATGCAAAATTGATACACACAGAGTTCACATTTTGAGAAAAATGTGTCTTCTCATTCAAGAACACAAAACCCACCTCCCACTTCCAAGTTTCCCTGTAAGCCCCTTGAGTAAAGAACCGAGCAGTTTTTTCTGAGGAATTTTCACCTACTGAAAATGACTCCGTTATTTTTGATAGGGGAATGAGTTCTCTCAGTAGGGACCTCCTGTAATGTATAACACACCATGTTTTAAACGTGAACGTTAAAAATAGCAACACTGTATACGCCTAACTTTGTGAGTTAAATCACTCACCTTCTCCACCAGGTGCTCCAGCTGGGTTGTTAGGAGGGATAAAGGCAGCTGAGGCTCATTTGGCTCCGCTGCTCCGAGGGTGCCTGGCGCCCTCCAAGGCCCAGTCCCAGGGGGAAGCCAGGCCTCGGGAACCCTCTCACCCGGGCTGAGCCCCGCTACCTGTACGGCTTGTCCCTGGTGTCCAGGTCTCCGCTCCTGCGCGCCAGGCAGCTCCTCCCCGACGGCGTCGCCTCTGACAGCCGCCCTGTGGATCTTCCGTGGTTCCGCGTCCCGGATTCGGTGCCTGGAAGCGGTGTAGACGGGGTCTATGGAGCCCAGGACCTGAGGTTCTGCTCCGCCTTGGTCCCTGGCTCCGAAGCGGAGGAACTTCTTCAAGGTGGTGACTTCTCAGATGCCCAACAGCCAGCTCCTGAGCCGCGGCTCCTCCCACCCCTCATCTACATCCCAAATCTGCTTTCTAGCCCCAATCCGCGATCCAGCCAGGCCCACTGCAGCCTCCGACCTCTCAGACCCAGCGAGCGTCGCAAAGCCGTTATGCGCTCCTGCGCCGCGGTAGCTGCCCGGCTCCCGGAAGTCGCTCCCAGGTGCACGCAGGCAGGTGGGGCTGCAGCTCGGGGCAGGCACAGCTGGGCTCCGGGTTCTCCTGGGCTCGCCCGGTCTGCCCGAGGACCGCAGGTGCAGAATCTCAAGCGTGCTTTTTGTATCACAAACATGAGTTCCTGATGGAACGTTATCAGTCCTTACACATATCTAAGGGAGGAGAGGGAGGCCTGTCTGACCCTGCGGCCGCCCCACTCCTCAAAGGGAGATCAGGTCTGGAACGGGCACTGGAGAGCCATCGAGGATGGCCTGGCTTCAGCGCTGAGACTCTGGCCCCAGGGTCTGTCTGACAGGTGTCACAGAGCGGGAAACGCATGCAAAGTCAGGGGTTGCTCCTTCCGCCACCGGCCCCCACTGCTGCCCATGCCAGATGCACAGTTTGAGGGTGCAATTCTGGTACTGGTGTGGGATGGCAGAGCTTCCCTTGGGTGGCATCAGGGTCGCCGAGGACACAGCTCATCTGGCCTGAGAGTCCGCTCCTCTTGGACACCTCCGCAGATCCTGGGCCCCTGCGCTGGGCGCTCTGCATCCACACCGATGAGACCGAGAGGCTGCTGGCCGCCGGCCACCTGACTTTTCCGCCTGGGTGCCCAAACTTGGGATTCCTGCTGCTGGGGGTGTGGGCCTGGTCTGGGGTGTCTAGCCACTTGCTGCTCCTATGCCACATCTAGGCTGCAGGGGTGGTTCGGGTGCCAGCAGTGGATGGGGGGGCTGGGTACCTGATGTCCTCAGGGTCAAATGCATTGCCCACCCACCTGAGGGTTTGCTCTGCCTTGGCCTCCTCCAAGAGTGCAGGGGCCATCAGGTGGCAATTTAGGAATGTTTAAATTGAAGGAAATATTCTTTCTCTCCACATTTAAGTTATACAGTATAGCCTATTGCTCCCAGGCTCCAAACCTGTATAGCACATCTCTGTACTGAATGCTGTAGTCAACTGTCACAGCATGGTGACTGTGGATTGTGATCCCAAAATATCTGAGTCAGGTCTCAGTCAATTTAGAACACTTATTTTGCCAAGGTTAAGGACATGCCCATGACACAGCCTCAGGAGGTCCTGACAACATGGGTCCAAGGTGGTCAGGGTAGAGCTTGCTTTCATACATTTGAGAGAGACAGGAGACACCAATCAGAAAGCAGCTCTGCCCTCACAGTGCTCCCCCAGGTCTGTACTGAGGAGAATGCAACTTTGGCACACCGCCCTCATGCAATGCACACCAGCGCCCCGTGAGACCATCTGAAAAGATTGGCGCCATCGTGCCCTGCTGGCGGCCGGGCAGTGCAGGGCCCTCTTGCTCCCCGTGATGTGCCCCTGCCCCCTTCTGGCGGTTAGGGCCATTGCAAATAGCTCTTACAGTAAGACCCCCGCCCCAGGGTCTGTGCTGAGAAGGAAGCAGCTCCATCCTCAAAGTGTCCCCCAGGTCTATACTGAGAACGCAACTCTGCAGACCGGTCTGATGCGACACAGGGAGGTGCTGTGATGCAGTGCACATCAGCGGTGCAGCCTCAGGAAGCTGAAAAGCCGGGCTTGGGTGGCCCCTCCTGGCGGCAGGGCACTGCAGGGCCCTCTTGCTCACAGTGTAGTGGCAACATGCTCCCTGCTGGCAACTAGGGCAATGCAGTATCCTCTTGCTCTGGGTGTGGTGCCTGTGCTTCTGGGCACTCTTACATGCTGTGTAGTGGCAACACGCCCCCTGCTGGCCACTGGGGGCACTGCAAGACACTCTTGCTTGTAGTTTCACGGCAGCACCCCCATGCTGGCAACCAGAGAACTACAGGGTCCTCTTCCTCATGGTGTGGTGCCCGTGTGCCCCTTGTTGGCTTCTCAGGGCACTGTAGGCTCTCAGGGCACTGTAGGCTTCTCAGGGCACTTCTCAGGGCCCTCTGGCTCAAAGTGTAGTGATGGCATGCCCCCTGCTGGCAGCTGGGACACTGCATGGCCATCTTGCTCAGTGTAGTGGTGGCACGCCACCACAGCACCTGCTGGCTGCTTGGGGCACTGTAGGGTCCTGTTGCTCACAGTGTATGGGCAGCATGCTCCCTGCTGGCAGCTGGGGACACCGCAGGGCCTTCTTGCTCCCAGTGTGATGGCTGGCGCCCCCTACTGGCCTCCTTCTGCACCACTTAAAGTCAGAGCACCAGTTACTCAGCACCCACCATTCTGGGAATACCAACTGAAACGGAGCTATTACTGGAAAGAGCTGATGTCCCAGTTCTTGTCTAACTCGGAAGATTTTCACCAAGAGGCAGTACAAAGATGGCAGATAACTTCATTGAAAATAAATACAGTGTAAAGAGCTTACTGTAGAAAAAATAGGTAGGCCCGAAGGGAGGAGGAGGCTGATCGTGCAGGAAAACAGCCCCAGTCCTTTGCAGAGAATTTTATTTTGGACTTCACATTCCTGCCTCTGTCTCAAGTCTCCGCCTCTTTTCTTTGCCTGGTTTTTCTGCACCTACCTTTGGTCCCTGACTTGCCCCTTTTTGGCTTGTGAGACCTCCTCACTGTTGGTTAAGGCACATGTGTGGAGATCAATCCAAATCCACTGTTGAGGCTGGCTTCTTCCCGCCTCCCAGGAAGGCCCGACGGTGGTCACGTCTGTACCTCCTGTGCCTGTCTATCTCTTTTGAATGTCCTTCTCTGCCCTAATTTGTACTTATGGTGCCAGGTTTCTCTTAAGAATATCCGCTTTGTCCTTCTTATTAGCATGTAGCTAGCAATTTTCTGACATTTTAACTGTAGAGTGAATGATGACTGGGGCATTCTAAAAGGAGTTCTAGGGTGTTTCTTTTTGCATAGGTACCCTTCTTCCTCCTACCCACAACTGACAAGTGCCCATTAACTCCAGCATTAGAGATGCTACCAATATATACATTTTTGATGGTTCCTCCAGGTGAGCCTTCCCACTATGTTCACGTCTAGCTATCTACCGACTCTAACAGGGCCCACTATCCTGTGTCTTTCCTAAAAGTAGGGAAGGAATGATTCATTGGAAACCATAGGGAATTAAATGAATGTAGATGAAAACTTTACAATTTACACAAATAATCACTCAAAATCATCCTTACACTAAAAATGCAAAACTGTACAATTTCTAGAAGAAAACAGAATAAAAGCTATGTGCCCTTGGGTTTGGTAATGGATTTTAACAAACAACACAAAGTGTCAATACACACAGAACAAATATTTTAAAGTGGACTTTTAAAATATTTAAAGCGTATACTCTGGAAAAGACCTTGCCAAGAGAATGAAAAAATGAGCCACATATTGCAAGAAACTATTTGCAAAATGCAGATCTGAGAAAGAATTTGTATTGAATATACAAAAAAAATCTTAAAACTAAGTAAAACAGCCCAATTTAAGATGGACACAAATTTGAACAGACACCTCACCAAAGGATTTAAGAGAAACCAGACCTTTCAAAAGACTGCACCATTAATATCAACCAATTGCCTAAAGTTGCCTCTCCTTTCTTGCCTGATAAGAGACCACCCATGACAGAGAGGTTCTGGCCAGTATACAGCGGATGGACAGAGCAAGTTTTCATATCCCCTGCTTCACCTTTTAATGTCAGAGGGCTGAAAACTTCACACTGGGATCATGCTAACACTGCCATTATTTGAACATGGGACCCATGAAGGAGTAAGAATCTCAACTGCGATTGCACACATTTCTCCTTCCATAAATATTCATGACATCTCCTAGAGCTTATTAAATATGTGTATTTGGCCATGCCACTCAGCATAAATGACTGATTCCTTTACCTCTCCCTTGAAGTGTCTGCTTCTGGCTGGAGTCTATGCTTCACAGCCTGTTAGAAGGACTACCCTGCAGGCTGCAACACTTTATAGGAAATAAATCTCTCACTGGGTCCAGTGGCTGATGTCTGTAATCCCAGCTATTTGGGAAGCCAAGGTGGGTGGATCACCCAAATTCAGGAGTTTGAGACCAGCCTGGCCAACATGGTGAAACCCTGTCTCTACTAAAAATACAAAAAATTAGCCAGGCACGGTTGTGGACATCTGTAATCCCAGCTAATTGGGAGGCTGAGGCAGAATTGCTTGAACCCAGGAGCTGGAGGTTGCAGTGAGCCAAGATCACACCATTGTACTCCAGGCTGCACAAGAGTGAAACACTCTCTCAAAATAAAAAAATTAAAAAATAAATAAAAATAAATATCACCTTTCCAAATTTATGAACCTTGTCATTCTTCAGTTCACAGTGTTACAAAGTTCAAAAGACCTTCCATCCTCTCCCACAAGTCCTAGAAATTGTCATTTTGTTTAATTATTTTAGATGCCTGAGAACTTGTCATCAAATGAGTAGAGATGTTGAAATTGTTCTTTACCAGCTATGTATCTCTTAATCCAATCAAGCAGATGTCTAAAATTAGCCATGAAGAATATGTATACCTGATTTATGGCTAAAATTTTAGGATGAAAGCTGTAGATCTTTATTTGTATTTTATGCCTATTAACATATGTTATGTATATGTGATATTTTCTTAACTCCAGATAGCAATGCAAAATTCATTGATAAAATCCTCTAAAAGTGCTCTATTATAACTTAGCTTGGAAAAAAAAAAAAGCATTTATAAATAAATATTCCCCAAACTCCTAGAAATGTAGGAACTAATACAAATGTTTTTCAAGTTAACACAATTTAGAAAAAACATAGTTAAATAAGATTGATTTAACATTTTTTTGGTGTAATAAAACAACTATGTCTTCATAGCTATCACTATTGAATACAAAACAAACAAAAATTTCTATTCTGCTTGAGTTCTAGTCAAATAAGGTAATATGTTTACTACATACTTAAAATCTTAAAGCTTATAGGCTTGATCCTAATTAAGTTATTCTTACTTAAAACATTATTTCAATAATAATTTTTTACAGTAAATCTGCCTAATAATAGTTTCCAAAATAC